TGAGCTCCTTGAGGGAAGGGAGCATAGCTTGCTCTCTGAGCTAGCCCCAACATCTAGAGCAGTGGCTGACACATAGAGATGCTCAGTAATACTTATCTACCTCCAATGAAACTTACTTCAGGAATGCAAGAAATATTACCTCCCTGATAGACATGCCCCAGCCAACGTGGCATTGCTTCTGGAGCCAGAGTTCGCCATGTCTGCTTTGCCCTATAAAAGGTCCGTATATTAGAAGACTAGGTATTGGCTCTGGACTTGGGATCAGACAGATGTGATTTGGATCAGTCTTCACCACAGATGCTGGGCCAGTTGAGTCTGCTTTCTCAGCTCTAACATAGGGATCCTCTTGGTCCCTTCCTCCTAAATCAAGGTGAGGACTCAGTCTATAAGTCATGTGGGACACATAAGACAGTGCCTGGTATGTATGTACAATCCTCAGTACTTAGCTGTGTCTAGATACCATGGCCAAGACAGGCTGGTTGAGGGAGTAGCACTGGTTCAGTTTTAGCTGACCCCAAGGAAGCAGCAGATGCCAGCTGAAAGCTCAGCATTCAGCAGAAAGGCTGCTCTGGGAGAGGATGACCCATTTTCCATTGTTATTTTATTTCTCCTTAAGTGCACTGAGCAGACAAAGGTTGAGAAAGGTCAGCAATGACCTTGACAAAGGAGTTGACAAAGCCTGTCCTGGCTCTGGGACTCAGTCTGGACCTTGCCATTCAAGAGTTATGTGACTGTAGGAAAGAATCTCACTCTTGCTAAGCCTCAGTTTCCTTCTGTGAACAATGGCCATAATGCTGATCAACTCACAGGGTCCCATAAGGTTTGAGTGGGACAGTATGTGAGAAATAAATCCCCAGGGAGCCCACGTGCCGACACATCACAGACAGTGCCAATTACCCAACCTTCAGAAAGCAGGATCCAGGCAGAGTGGATCAGTAACTTCTGCAGAGCTGTGAGACTTAGCAACAGGACCGCAGACTTTTTCTGGGTATTTTCCAGACAGATTCTCATATTTCAGTTTGAGAACTTGTGATCCATGGTATATCCGGCAGCCGACAACCTCCGTGTTGTGTGCCAGGCCTGGTGGGACTCTCGGGATATGGACACAAGGAAGATCCATGTTCCTTCCCAAGGAGCTCACAGTCCAGTGGGACATGAGGGCTCTGGGGCCAAAGGGGCAGAGAGAACTAAAGAAAAGGGGAATCAAAATCTTTTGGGGGGAGTTGACATCTTGGTTATTAGAAAGCATTGGGCCAAAACATGATTCATTCATTCATTATATTTATTAGAGCAAAACAGACATCTATGGTAGCCCCTCCAAGTGCTGGGTACACCCCAATCCAGACCACCTGGCAAAATTATCAGTGCTGTGCCATGTCTCTGGTCTTGCCACCTTAGGTGGATGCAGCTCACCTCCCATTGCATGGGTCTGCATCTTTTTGCCTGGGGACTTCCTTCAAAGTCATGGGAGATTGCTCTGCCATGCACAGAGCAGGTTTGTTGTGCTGGGAATGAACAAGTCTGGAATCTCAACTCTACCACTTGGTAAAGATTTGAACTTGGAGAAGTTTTTTAACCTCTTGGTGCCTCCATTTTCTCATCTATAAAATGGGTTACTAGTAGTACTTCCACATAGAGTCATTATGAAAGTTAGATGACTTAACAAAAATAAAGCCCTTAGGAGTACCTTGCACATTGAAATTGCCTTCTAGGGGATTGTTAAATAAATGGATGACAAGCTGGGGAGGGGAGTGGATGGGGACTGAATATGGAGTGCCAGATGGTAGTGGCCCTAATGGAATACCTGCAGTATCCTGTGTCTGTGGAAGCTCCGGCCTTGTTTTCTCAAAAAATGCAGAGGGGTGTTCCTGCCCCCAGCCTAGTCACCTTCCTTTCAAAGGAAGGAAACAAAGGAATTCAGACTAACAAACAAATATTATTAACCCTTCCTAAGCACTTTCAATATGCCAGGCATTATCTCACAGAATCCTATAAAGAAGTAGATAGCATTATTCCCATCTCTCAAACAGGAGGCTCAGAGAACTTTCCATGTGCCCAAAGTCACACAGCTGACAAATGGCCACACTTGAGAATTAAACTGAGGTCTGACTCCCCACTGAACCTCTGTCCTTTCTACTCTACATGACATTTTTCTTTTTTTAAACTTTGTTCATTTTATTTTTTTAAATAATTTATTTATATTTTATATTATTGTTCATTTTGTACAATGTTTGCTTTCTTGTCTCAGGTGTAGTCCCCATAGAATTCCCACCACCAATTCACCCGTGCACCAGCACCATAGTCCCTTGTGCTCAGTAGAGAAATACGAATTCAAAGGTTGAGGGCAGAGCCCTTGGAGTGTGTCTGTCACCCACCTTTCATGGAATCTGGTTACTTGGAGAATAAATTGCCTAAAGGTGTTCTGCTGGCTCAGGGAAAGAGCATCAAACCTCCCAATGTGAGCACAGACATCGGTATAAATATGTATGCGAAGCCCGCTAAGTCTCCCAGTCATGAATCCGCCAGGCTGAGGCACCAGTCACACTGCCTGAGCAGCAGTGATTTGCAGAAGTACGTCACTGACTTACAGCCTGTGCAAGCCTTAGCTCTCGTCCCAGGAAGCTCTGGGCTGTGCTGGCAGGACTTGGTATCTCCGGGCCTGATGTCCGGATATCCCCACTGCTTGCCTGGATCATGTCAGTGTTTCAAGCGACTGGTCAGTGTTCAAGCAGAAAACAGTTCCCTTCCTTTCCCCAACCTTTCCTCCAGTTGAGAGAGCTGCATGTGAAGAAGGACTTCCTAAAGAACTAGAGTTGGGTCAGATGAGGCAGGAAGAATGTTCCAGGCAGAGAGGGCAGCTGGTACAAAGGTACCGTGACACACTAAGCTCTTCATGTGTGAGAAAGTGACTTGATCATGGAGTTTTGCAGAGGGGATTGAGAAGCTAGAAGGGACCAGTATGTTGGATCCTGCAGGCCAACAGCAATGGAGGGACTGGGAGCTATTACGCTGGCATTTACAGAAGCTTAGACTCCTGGGATCTCAGGTGATACGAGTTAGAATCCAAGAGTCATCAGCTTTAGGGATCAGAATCTTGAAATTTTAGACTTACAATCATAAACTCTTGGGCTGTCAGTCAAGATTTGATCATCAAGTTTCTGAACCAGACAATGTTCTAAACTTTCCAAGCCTTGCATAAAAGCAGAAATTAGCACCAGAATTCAAGTTGGCTTAATTACTAAGGGCAACTGAATTTTCTTGTAAGGGCAGGAGGTTTGGGGATGCTGTCCTGGAATCCCTTTTGTGTGATGGGACATCATCAGGACTTGTTCTAAGTTGTGCCCTCCCTAGAAGCTCAAGGCAAGGGCCTGTGCTGTTATTCTGAATTAAAGGAATTGGACCTGGAGTCCATCCACCGTGCCTGGACTTGGCTGATGTTAATCACCAGTCACAGCATTTTTAATATGCCCTGAGGTTCCTGCTGAAAGCAATCAAAGTAGCAGGAGTGTATTATGCCTTTTAAGTAATTTCACAGCATTTGGGCTGCTGCCCACCTTACTTGACAGGGGTTCCCCTCTCACACAGCCCCAGGGAGCACAAATGCAAACTGGCCCTTTTCCAAGTCCATTTAGTCCACGAAGACACTGATTTCTCTTAGTCCATTTTTCAGATCTTTATTTTCCAAATTATTCACAGTGGATGAATAGCAAACCCTGGGCCTGGGCCTGGCCCTGGGAAAGGAAGCACTAGATTCTCTCCCTGACTGTGCTGATGACCAGTTTTGTGATCATGAGCAGGTCTGGGGTGTCAGGAGCAAAGAGAAAGTGGGCATTCAGAAACAGCTGCCTGGGGCTGAAGAGCGTGGGGTGGGATCATGGATCTTGAACATCCACAGTTTTTCGGGCAATCTTATGTCCATGGTCCACATTGGGTTTCTTAGGCAAAATTATAATGTGAAAGTCAAAGTGAGTAGTGAGCATCCTAGGAAACGCTCACCCAAACCTAGGTCCTCTTCCCTCATTTTGTGGTCTTTCTTACTCAGGGTTTTTTATCTCAGAGAAACTGGATTTTGTGTGAATACTCTTGTCAGCCTGCCAGTCAAAAAGGAAGCTGAGTTTGTCATTCTAATTCCTTCCCTGGGGGCCTAAGGATACATGATTTAAAAAAAAAATCAGTGATCATAGAATGCTACTGAGGCCCAAGACATGGGATGGTGACAGAGAGCAAAAGCTGTGCAGTTGGGCAGATCTGAGTTTGAATCCTTGCTCATTCCTTACCATTTTTTCATCTTGGGTATGTCATGTAAAGGCCTATCCTGGAGTTTTCTTTCTCCTTTGTCATTTGAAGATAATATGAGTGCCATTAAATGTGAGCTAGGATGCCAAGGTTTGCATCCTAACTCACCCTCTCCTAGTTCTGGAACACTGAAAAACCCCTCTACCCCTCTGAGCTCTGACTTCCTAGTCAGTGGAATGGCGAGAACAGCACTAGCTGCCTCCACAATGTTATTGTGGAGAGGATTGAATGAGAAAAATATGGTTGTGGGAAGCACTAAATAAATCAGCATTAGCTATAAATGTCATTGTTTGCAGAGTGGTGTGTGATTTCAGTAAGCTTAGACTCTGGGGTAATATATGGTACTTCTAAGGTGCTTAAGATATAATTGTTGGGTGAATGAATTCAGAAGAGGATGAATTGGTGAAAAGTACCAAGCACAAAGTACCATTATGTAGTAAGTGGGGGAAGGCACACAGAGCTGCAGCCTTCCTTCCCTGGGCACCAGCACCAGTGTGCCAGGCTGGCCGGACCAGTGAAAACTGGTAGTAAACACCCTTTCCCAACCCAGCCCATCTCCTCCCAGCAACGTCAGTGGCGTCCATTAGTATCTTGAAAGCAGCTAATGTGGGGATGTTGACACCACAGACAATGGCAAATTTTATCAGGTGTGTTTGTCTGCTTTTGTTGTTATGAGAAAGAGAGAAAGAGGATTAGTGCCCAACACATCCCTGACTGGTCAGGGGACCATTTACCATCATCTGCCACAGTCATCTTCAGAAACCCCTTCTGACCATTTTGTTGCAGGACACAGGATCTATAGGAAAATAAGTCATTTTGTAGCTGATAAGAGGACATTAGGGGATGCTGAAAGTCTGGCATTGAAGACCCTGCTAATGAGGTCGTGGTTCCTGTGGGTTGGGCTGGTCACTAATGCCTGGCTATGACCTGAAAGAGTAGACCCGGGAACAGCTGACTGGATCTGCTAAGGGTCGTTCTGGGACTTCTCTAACCTGCTCAGACTGCACTAATGCTTGGGTTTTCCACGAAGATTATGACACAGTGCCTGCACCCATCGGCATATTTTATAGGCCATCTGTGGGGCTCCTGACAGAGCCATTCCTTAAGCCCTGAGTAAAGAGAACCATCTAAGGCCATCCTGAATCTACTTCACTATCAATTGACTTTGAAGAAGTGCAGCTATTAAAGGAGCTGGACAGAAGTGCAGCTGTTAAGTGTATCGGACAGAAGAATGAGCTGCGTGGAAGGCATTTGTAAACCATCCAGGATTTGAAAGCTTGTCTGGAGTGATCTCAGAGTGAAATGCACAAGACAAAGCTATCCCAGAGCTTAGAGTTCCAGGCTCAGACTGGGGTGGCAGCTGTCTAAGCCATGCTCCCCATCACTCATCTGCAGGACTGTCTGAGTCCAGAACCCCTCTCTGGATTCTTCAGAGAGTTAGGGAGTGGGTAGCATCTCTATTTATCTATATTTTAGCTCCTTAGGTGAAGTGGATGATTGGCTAGGTTTGACAACCACTGCATCCTAATGAATAATCTCTCATTTAAAGTGTGTTGACATATCATTTGTGTTTCAATGGCCCTAAATGGCTTTAGAGGAAAGCCAGTTAATCTTCTGATCTGAGGAAGACCAGCTACTGTTCACGCTTAGAGGAATAAACAAAAATGTGCTGTGCTTTTTAATCTTTAAATTAGTACCATTGGAGACTAGCAGTTATCAGCTCTTCTCAGTGAGGGGTGTTCACACTACCCTCCCCCTGGAGGGAGGGAGTGGCAACTCTAAATCCAGACTAGGCTTGGGGGACAACATGGAGATAGAGAAAGACAGGACTGGCTTGAAATTGTGGAGGTGACAGAGGGGACAAAAATCAGTGCCCTCTGCAGGGGGCACCCAGGGAATTACAGTGGCAAGATCCAAGGGTAGCCAACTGGAGAAAAGAAACCAACTGGAAAAAGGAAAGCAGGAAGAAGATCCCATGGGTGTGGGAGACAAATTGACAAATCACCCTGGGCAAGTATGGGGGGTGGAGTCTGAGGAGTGTTTACTGCTGGAATGGCATGTTCCAGAAGAGGCTTTTTCCACCCTGCTGGCTTCAGTTGTTACCAAGCTTGGCTCCCCAGCAGAATCTCCTAGGGGAGCTTATATGAAAGACAATTTCAGGTTTCCGGTCTACACAGTCACTCTGTGGGGTGGTAGCCAGAGGCCTGTGTTTTCAACAAGCTGTTCTTAAGCAGCCCAGCTTAAGTGTAAGCCCAGCTTATACTCGGCAGCAGTGTAGGGTGAAGAGGTAGACTCCCAGGACAGACTGAATGGATCTGAATCCTGACTACCATTTATTACCCAGGTCATGTTGTGCTTTAATTTCCTCACCTTCAAAATGGAGTGATTCATCGTGTCTCCATCATAGGGTTGTCAAAAGGATTCAGTAAGATAATAGGTGCAAAGCCCTTAGAAAAATACCTGATACCTCATTTTTATTCTTATTTTTTTAAAGATTTATTTATTTATTTATACAAGCACTGGGTACAGTCAGAAGCGTGGGAGGGTGAGAGAATTCACCAGAGCCAGAGCGGGGAGCAGAGCAGGCAGAAGGACCGAAGTACACTGCTGAGGGGAGCAGCGGGCGGCAGGAGAGGTCTGCGCGCCATACTCTTATTTCTTTTAGTAAACATTAGCCAGGTCAGAGGACAAGGCATACAGGTAGAGAGACTTGAGTCATCAAAAATGTAAACAGTGGTCACAAACTGAAGCTTCACAGCATTGCCACCTGGCAGGGGTTAGGGGTGAGGAGCTGGGGTACATTCATTTCCTGCAGGTGCTGTTAAAAGGCACCACCAGTTTGGTGACTTAAACATCTGAAATTGTTTCATAGTTCTGGAAGCCAGGAAACCAAGGTCAAGGTGTGTGCCTCAGGCTCTCTGACTTCAGAGGGGTATGTAGCAACTTTTGGCCTTCCTTGACTTCAAGATGCATCTCTCCAGTCTCTGCCTTTGTTGTCACATGGTGTTCTTGCTGTATGTCTGTCATTATATGAATTTCTTATTACAAGGACTCCAATCATTTTGGGTTAGGAACCCCAACACCAATATGAACTCAACTGATAACTGCTGCAGTGACTGTTTCTAAATAGGCCACATTCTCAGGTGCTGGGGGGTTAGGACTTCAACCTATGAATTTGGGAATGGGGCACATTTCAGTCCATATCATGGAATGTTTATCTGCCCTGCTAGAGCACTAGCTCTGTGGATAGGAAACCACTGTAGATAAAACTCCACAGTGCTCAGGGCAGGCTAAATTCACACCTGTGGTCAGAGTAAGTCCTCAAGCAGAGCAGAGGCCAGCGGAGTGGGGGGGAGGTAAGTGCCCAGGGGATGTGAGCAGGGCATCCAGAGTCAGGGGTATCATGCACAGGCCTTCTGAGTGCAGGCCCTGTGGGGCTGCCACGTCAGCTCACCCGCGAAGCCGGCCAGTACCTGTTAGTATGCCTTCTAAGGGGACAGCTCCTGCTCAGCTCCAGCCAATTCTCACCAAGCAGGAATGCTTGGCAGGCCCTCGAAAACGTGTCCCTGAGTAGATGCAGCGCTGGGGCTTCCAGTTTGAAAACGCTGCAAGAATACATGCTCAGATTACCTGGATGGGGCCTTCACGGTCAGTTCAGAGCTACACAGAATTTCTCAAACTCGACACTATTGACACTTTGAACTGGAGAGTGAGTTCTCATGGAGGGCTGTCCTGTGTGTTGAAGGATGTTTGGCAGTAGACTAATAGCACCCTCCCACTTATGGCAATCAAAATTGCCTCCAGACATTGCCAAATATCCCCTTGGGGAAGGGGGAGAGGGATTGATGCTGAGAACCACTTTGCTATAAGAAAGTAAGAGAACATGGGGCTTCTAGCTTCTAGCTCAGCCTATAACCCGTCTTCCCACCAAACGTACCGGGCGCTGCTTCTCAGGCCCAGGAGGCACTGTCCTTTAAGAGGCCTCGGTGTCTCAGAGCAGTGAATTGGTTTCTGAGATTCTTTTTCAAAAGTCAATCTCTCCCCTCTTCCCTCTCTCTCTCCACCTTTCTCTCTCTCCCCTCCATGCTCAGTCACTCTCCCTCTCAGTAGAGAACATCACATGCCTTTAAACATCCATAGAATGAAGTTCTGTAAGACTGTCTTGTTCATAGCTATAGCCACAGCAGCTAGATCAATACTGGGTACATAATGAGCAGTATTTGAGAATGAATGAATGGACATACTGCTATGTCCTCTAAACCTACACAGCCCCCTTGGGAAATGATCATCTGAGCACTGAGGAGAAGATGAGGAGCTGCACCAGCTTCTCCTCCACCAGCCTGGCCAGGCTGTTTTGCAAGGAAACCTGTGCAACTGCCTTCTGAGCAAAGCCTCTTCAGGCATCAATTTCCTGGTCCTTTATTTTCCTTTATGCAACAGATAAGAAGTACTGCATTAGGTGTTTAAATCAGATAAACAACCATTGATACCAGGCTTCTGCTCAGCCTGCATTTTGTTTCTCTGGGGGTCACCCCAAAGAGTGAATTGCTTTTTATGGGAGCAATACAAGAGGTATGTATGTGATGGGGAGAAGGGGAGAAAGTGCTCTGTCTGACCAGGCAAGTAAGTTCTGCATTTTTATTTGGCATCTAAGCCTGAAAGAGTAAGAATAGGCAAGCAGCCTGCTTTTAACTGGTTCTGAGCGGAAGCGCCAGACGGGGATAGTAGAGAATGGCCTGTGACCTCCTAAGAGGAGAATGGTGTTTCACCAGCAGGACTTCTGGGAGTGCTGATTTACAGAGGTCATTCAAAAGTCAGCAGAGCCAGGATTTGTGGACAGCAGGAGCAGGCTGGAGGAGCAACACGAGCAGGATGACACCTGGCCCCATGCAGGGTGCAAATTGTATTTCTCTGTGAATGCAGCCTATCGACAGCTCCATCATTGATTCTGAATCTGGCAAAGTCACAGAGAGCAGACTCCCTGCCTCCTCTTTTCCCAACACATTAAAACAAACATGAAATACAGCATTACCCTTCTTTCTACAATTATATTTTTGTCCTACCCTACAGAGGCACTTTATTAAAAGTTTTTTTATAGATATTTCAAAAAAAATGTTTAAAGCTAGCTTATAAAGGAACAAAAAAGTAAAAGACAATGTACCTTTAGACTAGGACTTGAAAATCAAAGCTTTTAACAAAGGCAGAGAAGTAAAAATACTGATGGAACCCTGAGATTATTCATTATATTTCTCTCTGAGCTTCCTGGCCACCTTAGCAAAAAGGCAAATACGATGGTTTATGTGTTTGTCATTACGTATAAAGAAAACCAACATTTCATTATATGTTTTCACTTAGAGTCACAGAGGTACTTATCACACTTATCACATACCTATATATTGTATATAAAATATCAAAGACAGTATCTAATAGATGCGACAGTTTTCTAATAGATGCAGAAGTCCTTTTGAGATAGTTCTTTCTTGCTTTGGCAGTTGACAAAAGCTGAAGGAAACCATGGAAATCTAGATAAAGGTTCTTGGCAAAGATTGAGTCAGTGCTATCTAGCATATTTCAGGCTTCAGAAAAAAGTTTATAGCAGTTGCTTGATTAGGGTTAAAGGAATCCTTTCTGTTGATCAAATCCTTTCTGTAGCAAATGTTTGGGAAAACACAGAATTTTTCACTGATCTGATCTTCCAGAAACCTTTATTCTAGCTCACTATTAACAGAACTCAAACATACAAGGAGGTAAGCAGGTCCTACAGGAAGCAAAACCTTTTCAGCTCCTGCTTGCCACCTTCTACACTCATTCTCCTATGCCTGCCTTCATTTCCTGTGTATCATGAGTTCACAGTCTTACATTAACCCCCAGCACCATAATAGCACAATAGATTCTGTCTTGTTAGCCTTTGTGGAAAGCAAATTACACCTGAAGTTAGTGGCTTAAAACAGCAGCCATTCATTGGCCTACAAATCTACCACTATGGCTGGTAGACTTTTGCAATTAGGGCAACTTATCTCTACAAGGGTTGGCCGTCCCCCACCCCCACCATGCATTTGCAGTCAGCTGATGACGAAAGGGGCCAAAAAAGCCTCTTTCACATGTCTGGGGCTTCAGTGGGGTGACCCAAATGACTTGGGACTCCATGGGCCTTTCATTGGCCTCAAGGAAACTGAGTCCAGATTCTATACTCAGGCGACAAGAGAGTGATCAGAAATACCAAGGCCTCCCGAGGCCTAGGCCTGGCAGTTCATAAGTCCTTCTAGTGCACCCTGTTGTCACAGGACCAGTGCAGATTCACTGTGAGAAGCATCTATACCAAGATGTGAATTCAGAGAAGTAGGATGCATGGGATCATGCCTGGCAGTCACCCACAGCCCTTGCCCAGCAATACCTCAGTAACAGTGGTCTCTGTCTGCTTCTCGCCTGAGGCATGGGGAGGGAAGGAGGGAACAGGTATGTCCTGCCTGGGGGTGGGGAGGGGACACTATCAGGTCATTGGTACTTTTTTTTATAAAGTATTATACTTAGTCTTTTATTATACTTAGTCTTTTTCCTGGTCCTTTATTTAGGTTTTCTAAATTCCTGCTATGAGTGAGACCATCCAGTATTTTTCTTTTCTTTCTGGCTTATTTCACTGAAAGGACACAGAAACATTAATTCAAAAGGACACCTGCACCCCTATGTTTATAGCAGCACTGTTTACAATAGCTAAGCTATGGAAACAACCCAAATGCCCAAAAATAGATGACTGGATCAAGAAGATGTGGTTCATATACACCATGGAATATTACTCAGCATTCAAAAAAGATAAACTCATGCAATTTGCAGCAACATGGATGGAGCTGGAAGGGATCTTGCTCAGGTCATTGGTACTTAACCCAGTTCTCACTCCAAGTTCTGTGTACTTACTGTTTAACTGACACCTTCAAAAACCCAAATATCAGGCTTTACTGAGCTCTATTTAAAATTTTCAGAAAGAATATAAGTGAGGTGGACCTTTGAAGTGATGAAACAGTAAATGGTTTAAGAGACCTCCTGGCAACCATACTTGAAGACCCTGTAAGTGGTTGGGGTACACTGAGTTTTCCCCCACTATCTGCTATTCTCACTTGATGTTGGGAGACAGCAGCCTCCCCAGGCTTCCCAGTCAGCTCTGCAGCCAGAGATTATGGGGTCATTTTCATTTTGGCTAAAGTGAGAGGCTGTATTGGTGGCAGCCCCAAGAGTCAACTGAGTTTTCTCCAGACTGGAATGAGAACAACTGACACCCCCTCTGTTCTTCCTGCTGCCCCCACAGGTGTCCCCACAAGGTCACATATTTAAAAAGATGACCCAAGTGACAACAAAGGCCATATGCTCCTCACTTTTGCAGAAGCTGAAAGGACCAGAAAACAAAGACACTGGAATCAGGAAAGAATCAGGAAAAAACATCCTGACATTCAGAGAAACAGTGTAAATCTTTAGAAATATTGAATTCAGCAAAGAGGTGGCTGACCATAGGCATAGAAGGCATCTACTATGTGCTATGCAGTTTTCACATGTTAGTCCCATTTAATCTTCATAACAACCACATTAGTTTCCTGAGACCACTAAGTAAAAGAACCACAACCTGTGTGTCTTGGAACAACAGAAATGAATTATCTGATAGTTCTGGGGGCTTGAAGTCCAAAATCAAGGTGAAGGTGCTGGGCAAGGGTCTGTCCCAAGCCTCTTGCCTACTTCTGTTGACTTCAGAGATTACTTCATGTGTCAATGGCTGTCTTCTCTTTCTCTCTCCTCACATTGTCTTTCTTCTGGGTGTGCATGTCATTGTATCAAATTTCCTTCTATTATAATAACACCAGTTACAATGGTTTAGGCCTAATGACTTATCATAACTTGGTTAAATCTACAAAGGTCTTATTTCCAAATAAGGTCAATTCTGTGTTACTGTAGGTTAGACCTCAGCATATCTTTTTCTGGGGAGATATACCACAACCCGTGACAGTCCACCAAAAAGTCATCTCTTTCTCATGTGAAAAATACATGCACTTCATTGTGGACATCAAGAGCTGGCTGAGAAACAGGTCACAATGCAGAATTAAAATACCTGTTGTGGCGTTAGACGCTGTCCTCCCTGTACAGTGAGCTGCTGCCCGGGGCCCACCAATCCCATACCACCTCTGTGCTGGCTGCCTCAGCCTGATCTCACCCTCAATGGGCAGCTTGTCTTGGGGGAGCCCAGACAGGGCTTGGAGAGGCAGGTGCTGGAGACAGGAAAAGAGCAGAACTGAGTCCTGGTTACGGGCTGTGGCTGCTTGTGGGATAATTTCACCGCCCGCTCAAGTCATCTTTGTTGGGAAAGGGATTGTCATGAAAAACACAATGGAAGGGGCTGCTGTGTCCTCACTTACTGGGGGCTGGGGAGGCTGCTGCTGAGTGGCTGCAGCCATTATGACCTGTGCCCGCAGGCCCCATTCACAGTTACTATGAAGAAGCAGAGGAACAGGACACTTAGTCAGGCTCAGCCTTAGCAGGCAGCTAACCAATGTCCACTGCTCACCCAGCCCAGCTCTGGTCACATTTCCTGGAAAGGCAGAGGCCCAGGCAGAAGTGGATCCCAGGCTGTGGTCTGCAAAGATGGAGTTTTCTCTGGGGAGAAGGGGAGGGTAAGTGGGGAGTACTGAGGAGGAAGGAAGCTGCTAAGCTGATGAGATGAATATGTGGCTTTTTTTAAAAATAGCTCTTTATCCCACCATCCATTATATCCCCTTGATCTTTTCTCCTGCCCCCTCCATCTTAACCTCAGAAACCTCACTTCATTTATTAACAACCGCTAGTTTATTTTTTTAAGTATCTTACGTTGTTGAATTGTCTGCTATGTATTGTTTATAATATTGGTTAGTGTGTAATATTGACCAAGACCAATATTTGTCTTGGTCATTGTGACGTGCTTTCCCACACATAATTCCCTCAAACTCCTTCCATTATGCTATAAATGGCAACATTTCTTCTTTCCTTATGGCTGAATAGTATTCCACAAGTGGATTTACCATATCTTCTTGATCCAATCTCTGTCAGTGGGCACATCAGTTGTTTCCATATGCCAGCTGTTGTAAAAAATTTTGCAATAAACATTGCATGACATATAATTTTTTGGATTGATGGTTTCTTGCTGTTTGGATAGAAACCCAGGAATGAGATTGCTGGATCGGGTATTTTCATTTTAAGTTTTTTAAGGTAAATTCAGATCATTTACCAAAATGGCTGCACCGCTTTACATTCCCACCAACAGTGTAATAAGGTTCTTTTTCCTCTGCATCCTCGCCAGCACTTGTTGTTGGCTTTTTTTTTTTTTTAAATACATGACATTCTCTCTCTGGTGTGAGATTATATCTCAGTGGTTTTCACCTGCATCTATCTTATTAAAAGAAATGATAAACATTTTTCCATATGTATTGCCCTTCTGGATATCTTCTCTGGTCTGTTCACATCTGCCTTCCATTTACCAGTTGGGTTATTTGTTATTTGTATGTTTGTTTTTTTTTTTTATCTTGGGTATTAACCACTTGAAGTTTATATAATGTGTAAATATTCTCTCCCATTTAATAGAATGTACTTTTAATCTTGTTGTATTTTCTTTTGCTGTGTAAAAAGAAGGTGATTTTTGCTTTATTTACCCTCGCCATAGGAGTCAAATCTCCAAAAACATCTTTGTCATTGGTATCATGAAACACATCACCAATGTTTTCTTCTGTCTATATTTTATTTTTTTTCCTTTTTTTATAATAAATTTTATTTTTATATTCCCCATACAATTTCAACCCCCCATTTTGACCCCAATCCCTCCCTCCCTCCACCCACCCCCCCCAAAGTGTCTCTGGTTCATAGATTTTTGTTGATTTTGATTTTCACTTTCTTATAGTTATTCATTTTCCTGGTCCCTTATTTAAGTTTTCTAGATTCCTGCTATGAGTGAGACCATCCGGTATTTTTCTTTTTCTTTCTGGCTTATTTCGCTGAGCATGATCCCTTCCAGCGCCATCCATGTTGCTGCAAATTGCGTGTGTTTATCTTTTTTGAATGCTGAGTAATATTCCATGGTATATATGTACCACATCTTCTTGATCCAGTCATCTATTTTGGGGCATTTGGGTTGTTTCCAAAGCTTAGCTATTGTAAACAGTGCTGCTATAAACATAGGGGTGCAGGTGTTCTTTGGAATTAATGTTTCTGTGTCCTTTGGGTAAATACCTAGGAGTGGAATTGCTGGATCATATGGAAGCTCTATGTTTAGTAGGTCCAGAAATCTCCACACAGCTCTCCATAGTGGTTGGACCAGTTTGCACTCCCACCAACAGTGCAGGAGAGTTCCTTTTTCTCCGCGCCCTCGCCAACATTTGTTGTTGCTAGTTTTTTTAATATGTGCCATTCTCACTGGTGTGAGATGGTATCTCATGGTAGTTTTGATTTGCATTTCCCTGATGACAAGTGATGTTGAACATTTTTTCATATGCCTGTTGGCCATTTGCATTTCCTCTTCAGAGAAGTTTCTTTTTAGCTCTTCTGCCCATTTTTTGACTGGATTATTTTCTTTGCTGTTGTTGAGTCTCATCAGCTCTTTGCAGATTTTTGTGATCACTCCTTTATCATTAGTGTTGGGTGCAAAAATGTTCTCCCAGTTGGTGGGGTTTCTCTTTGTTTTTGTTATTGTCTCTTTTGCTGTGCAGAAGCTCTTTAATTTGATGTAGTCCCAGCTGTTTATCTTTGCCTTCACTATCACTGCTTTGGGTGATGTGTCTGTAAAGATGTCTTTGATGTGCAAATCCCGTAGTGTTTCACCTATATTTCCTTCTATGTATTTTATGTTTTCAGGTTTTATGTCTAGTTCTTTAATCCATTTTGAGTTGGTTTTTGTGTATGGTGTGAGGTAGTAGTCAAGCTTCATTCTTTTGCATGCAGCGACCCAGTTTTCCCAGCACCATTTATTGAACAGACTTTCTTTTCTCCAATGCATATTCTTTGCTCCTTTGTCAAATATTAGTTGACCATAAATCTGTGGGTTTATTTCTGGATTTTCTATTCGATTCCATTGGTCTGTGTGTCTGTTCTTGTTCCAATACCATGCAGTTTTGATGATTATGGCTTTGTAGTATAGCCTGAAATCTGGGAGTGTGATGCCTCCATTCCCTTCTTTTTTTTTCAGGAGAGCTTTGGATATTCTGGGTTTTTGGTGATTCCATATGAATTTCATCAATAATTGTTCTATTTCTTTGAAGAATGACATTGAAATTTTTATTGGAATAGCATTGAATCAGTATATTGCTTTTGGTAGGATGGCCATTTTAATAATGTTTATTCTTCCAATCCATGAGCAGGGGATGTCTTTCCATTTCTTTGTATCTTCTTCTATTTCTTTTAACAGTGTTTTATAGTTTTCTTTGTAAAGGTCCTTTACCTCTTTTGTTAGATTTATTCCCAAGTATTTGATTTTTTTTGTTTCGATAATAAAGGGGATGGTTTTTTTGATTTCTTCTTCTTCAGATTTATTGTTTGTGTATAGGAAGGCTTCTGACTTTTGCATGTTGATTTTGTATCCTGCCACTTTGCTGAACTGATTGATGAGTTCATTTAGTTTTTCTATGGAGTTTTTGGGGTTCTCTATGTATATTATCATATCATCTGCAAATAGTGATAGTTTGACTTCTTCTTTTCCTATTTGGATTCCTTGTATGTCTTTCTCTTGTCTTATTGCTCTGGCTAGGACTTCCAATATTATATTGAAAAGCAGTGGTGAGAGTGGAAATCCTTGTCTTGTTCCAGATCTTAATGGAAATGCTTTCAGCTTTCACCATTGAGAATGATACTGGCTGTTGGCTTGTCGTATATGGCCTTTATGATGCTGAGGTATGTTCCTTGTATCCCAAGAATTTCAAGGGCTTTTATCATGAATGGGTGTTGCACTTTGTCGAAAGCTTTCTCGGCATCTATTGATATTATCATATGGTTTTTATATTTCTTTTTGTTGATGTGTTGGATAACGTTGATTGATTTTCGGATGTTGAACCATCCTTGTGTCCCTGGAATGAATCCTACTTGGTCATGGTGAATTACCTTATGGATACACTGTTGGATTCTGATAGCTAAAATTTTATTGAGAATTTTTGCATCAGTGTTCATTAGGGAGATTGGCCTATAGTTTTCTTTTTTTGTGTTGTCCTTGTTCGGTTTTGGTATTAGTGTAATGTTGGCTTCATAGAACGTGTTAGGTATTATACCTTCCTTCTCAATTTTTTGGAAGAGTTTGTGAAGGATAGGCACCAATTCGTCTCTGAATGTTTGGTAGAATTCATTTGTAAATCCATCAGGTCCTGGGCTTTTGTTTTTGGGGAGATTTTTGATTACCATTTCAATTTCGCTAATTGTAATTGATTTGTTTAGGTGTTCTATTTCTTCTTTATCTAGCTTTGGGTGATTGTAGAGTTGTAGGAATTTGTCCATCTCCTCTAGATTGTTGAACTTGTTTCCATATAACTGTTCATAGTAGTTATTAATTATTCTTTTGATTTCTGCTGTGTCCGTTGTGATTTCTCCTCTTTCATTTATTATACTATTTATTTGTGCTTTCTCCCTTTTTGCCCTTGTGAGCCTGGCTAGGGGTTTATCTATTTTATTGATTTTTTCGAAGAACCAGCTCTTGGTTTCATTAATCTTTTGGATTGTTTTTTTTACTTTCGATTTCATTTATTTCTGCTTTGGTTTTTATTATTTCTTTTCTTCTACTGGTTTTGGGGTTTTTTTGTTGTTCTTTTTCTAGATCTTTGAGCTTTGAGATTAGGTTGTTTCTTTGAGTTCTTTCTTGTTTCTTGATATGAGCATCTACTGCTATATATTTTCCTCTCATTACTGCTTTTGCTGCATCCCATACATTTAGGAAATTGGTGTCCTCCTTGTCATTCAATTCAAAGAATTTTTTAATTTCTTCTTTTATCTCCTCGTTAGTCCAGTGGACTTCCAGTAGTGTGGGTTTCAATCTCCACGAGGTAGGAGAGTAACTTGCCTTCTTTTTATGGTTTATTTCTAGTTTGATGCCTTCATGGTCAGAAAAGATGGTTGGTATGATTTCAATCTTGGTGTATCTGTTGATGTTTGTTTTGTGCCCCAGTATATGATCGATCCTACAGAATGATCCGTGTGCGCTTGAGAAAAATGTATACTCAGATTTTTTTGGGTTTAGTGTTCTATATATGTCTGTTAAGCCCAATCACTCTAGATCCTTATTTAGAGCTTTAGTGTCTTTACTTATTTTTTGTCTTGTTGATCTATCCATTGTTGATAGTGGTGTGTTGAAGTCTCCCACTACGTATGTGTTTTCTCTGATGTCTGTTTTCAGAGATGCCAATAGTTGTCTGATATATTTTGGTGCTCCTTCGTTTGGTGAATATATGTTAATGAATGTTATTTCTTCTTGAAGTATTGTCCCCTTGATCGTAATGTAACGACCACTGGGGTCTCTTTTTATCTTTTTAAGTTTGAAATCTGTTTTATCTGATATGAGTATAGCTGTTCCTGCCTTCTTTTTTGGTCCATTTGCTTGTAGAATTGTTTTCCATCCTTTAACTTTGAGTCTATTTTTATCTTTTGCAGCTAAATGTGTTTCCTGGAGACAGCAAAAGGTTGGGTTTTGTTTCTTAATCCAGCCTGCAACTCTGTGTCTTTTGTTTGAAGATTTTAGTCCATTTACATTTAGAGTTAGTATTGATATGTTAGCATCTGTATTTGCCATTGTGTTTGTCTTTCCTTTGATTTTATTTATTTATTCTTTTAATAACTTTCTTTGGCCTTCTTTTGTTGTTATTCGTCCCTCTGAGGTTCTGGCTTTAGGACTCCTTGTAGTATTTTTTGGAGTGGGGGTTTAGTCATAATAAAATTCCAGAGTTTCTGTTTGTCTGGGAAGGTCCTTATTCTTTCTTCAAAGAGGAAGGAGAGCTTTGTGGGATAGAGTATTTTTGGTTGGCATCTGTTTTCTTGGAGTCTGTTGACTATGTCCCTCCACTCTCTCCTTGCCCGTAGTGTTTCTTCAGAGAAGTCTGATGTCAGTCTGATTGGTTTCCCTTTGAATGTTATCTGTTTCTTCCCTCTTGTTAGTTTCATTATTTTTTCCTTGTCTTGGATTCTTGGGAGCTTTACTATTATGTGTCTTGCTGTATTTTTCCTTTTGTCATGGAAGTTTGGTGTTCTTCTTGCTTCTTGTATATCAATTTTCAGCTCCTTCTTCACGTTTGGGAAGTTCTGTTCAATTATATCCATGAATATTTTCTCTGTTCCTACATCTCTCTCCTCTCCTTCAGGGATTCCTATAACTCTTATATTTCCTTTCCTCATGGAGTCAGATAGTTCCCAAAGTCTTTCTTCGTTCTTTTTCCTTCGTACTTCTCCTTCCTTTTCTGTTTTAGTTCTTTTTATTTCTGTGTCTTCAAGAGTACTTATTCATTCTTCCATTTCATCTATTCTGCTTTCATTGCTTTTCCCAGAGTTCTTTAGCGTCTCCATTAATTCTTTGATCTCCTGCATTTCTTTTACTTCCCTCTTTAGGGACTCAATTTCATTCTTCTGGTCATTAATTATTTTCCCCTTATCATTGTTTTCCTTTATGACTTCTGTCAGTTTTTTAATCACAGCAATTTTAAATTCTCTATCTGGAAGGCTCAGAAGTTCTTCCAAGTTACTGTCGTTGCAATCTGGTAGATGGTTTTCTTTTTGCCGTGTGCTTTTTTGCTGAGGAGTTGCTGGGTTGCATGTGGTTTTTCTACTCCCTACTGCCTGTTTTCTAATTTGCCGTATTCCTTGTGACAGTGTGTTGCTGGTACTGGCCGGCATCTTGGGCGACCTTCCCAGCTCACCACTGGCTCCTCTGGGGAACTTCTGCTGGGTTCACAAGTCTCCAGCAAAGAAAGGTCCCTGCTGCAAAATGGCGATGTGGGAACGTGCTCCCCTGCACGCCCGGTCTGCCCCAGCGGTGGGTGCTGCTCCCCTCTGGGCTGGAACTGCAGGCTAGAAGGCGCCCGGCATGGGCAAGCCTCCCAGCTTACCTTTGTCTCCTCGGTGAGCCTTCTGCTAGGTTTACACAGTCTCCAGCAAAGAAAGGTCCCTGGTGCAAAAATAAATAAATAAATAAATAAATAAAAAATCCTGTCTATATTTTAATTGTTGTAGGTATTATATCTAAATGTTTAATGCATTTGGAATTTGTTTATGTGTGTGAAGTTAGAGAGTGATCCAACCTCATTCTTTAACACAGGCTGTCCAGTTTTCCCAGCACCCTTTGTTAGAGACTCTCCTTCCCTAGTCATGATTCCTTTATCATAAATTAAGTATTGATGTGTATATATGGCTCTATTTCTGAACTTTCTGTTCCATTGACCCATGTGACTGTTTTTATGCCAATACCATAGTGTTTTAATTGTTGCTGCTTTATAGTATATTTTAAAGTCAGATAACACATTTCTCTCCTTTTTTTCCCCTCAAAATTGCTGTTGTTATTTATAGCTCCATATAAATTTCACTATTTTTTGTTCAATTTCTTTGAAGAATATTGTTGGTATTTTGATGGGGATTGCATTAAATTTACATATCGCTCTAGGTAGATTGTTCACTAGGATTATGTGGATTCTCCCAGTCCATACCTCACCCCCATTATGCTAACTATATATTTTCTCCCTAACAGAGGAACTGAAGGAGAAGCTGACAGAGTATGTGGACAAGGTGAACGGCCAGAAGCCTGGTTTCATCAAAGTCGTGCGCCACAGCAAGCAGGAAGGCCTGATCCGCTCCAGGGTCAGTGGCTGGAGAGCTGCCACTGCCCCCGTGGTGGCACTCTTTGATGCCCATGTGGAGTTCAATGTGGGCTGGTAAGTGCCCTCAGTAGACAGGAGGACTCCCAGTGTGGCCCTAGGGGCTTTGGCTCAAATGGGAGCAAAGCATGGTAGAATCTGAGCCATGTAGGAAAAGGAGAGAATTCTGGAACAAAGGTACTTGGGCATGTGAGCAACCTAGGCAGTGGAGCTTGTGCTTTGGAGTGGGGTTGGGGGGCAGACCCAAGGGTCAACAGGAAAGCACAGTGTCTAAAGGGGTGACTTCACCTGACGTGGTCCTCTAGAAGACAAGATCTGGGATGGAGTAAATGCAAGAGCAAATCAGAGTCCCAGTTCCACTATGGATAGGGTGGCAAGCCCCAGGAGAGGGAGAGCTGGACCAGACATGAAGCAGAAACCACCCAGAGAGGGCCAACACCAAGTGGGCAAAGGGAGCTAAATTCGCTGATGTCAAAGGTGCCCTGGCTTCCCCAGAGGCCAGACCAGAGGTAGCATCTACTGCTGAAATTAGATCTTAGTCCTTTCTTTCTCAGGTTATGGCTGCTTAAGTGCAGGGTGGGGAAAGAAAACAGATTCAAGGTCTCTGTGACTGCCACTGCTCTGGGATGGGGGAACTGGTGTCAGCATCCCCGCAGGGCCAAGGGACTGGAGGGTGTGCTGTGTGTGGTTTTACAGAGAGCCTAGGCGCTGGGGGCCTAACCCTGGGAATAACTGAATGTACCACACTGCAAACCACTGTGCCTGATGGGGCTAGGGTCTGCCCTCTTCCCCAGCACCAGGTACCATCCTCTGCCTCCCTAGAGTGAGGTGAGCAGGGACTTTAGCAGGAAGGAGTAGCCAGGCACTCACCCAGCATGGCTAAATTCAGGCATACTTTTATATAACAGGCCAGAATTATGTCAGCAATGCAGCCATTTTTTATAGTTGAAGTCCCTGTTTGCCATTTGTAACTATTTAAAAAAGCATTTTCACTGAATTTATGGCCAGAAGAGGAGAGGGGCACTTACTATTTCAAGCTGATTTGAATAAACAATTATGCACCAAATGCATTATTAATGAGAAGCTGATCATTCCTGTCTGCCAACATATTTCTTGCCTGGTACCCACAGGGGCTCCCTGGGAAAGCTCTGACCACTTTCTCCCACTCTCCTTTGGGAGTGGGGAAGAAGGGTTGTGGGGGTGCAATGGTGTCACGGAGCTGGTGAAAATAGGTTTGTTCTCATCTCCCTGTTTCTGCCAACCTCTGTCTTTTCCTCCAGATTGCTACTCTGAAGTTTAGCAAAATCAAAGCCCAAGTTGAAAGCTTCCCACAGAACCTCAGATCTGTTCCTTTCTTCTTTTTCAAGTCTTGATTTTCCTTCTAGTGGGAAAAGGGAAAGTGAGCAGACACAAGGATCTAAGGCGCTAAAAATCAGCTCAGCCTGGCATGGGCTGAAGGGTAGCCAGGACTCTTGCCAACACAGAAGTATGGGGGATTAGGTTGGGGGGCAGCGAGCTGGTACCCTTCCCAGGAGCAGAACAGCTGTCCCCTGGCCAGGTGTTCCTTCCTCTCTCAGCGGGGGGAGGAGCTTTGAAGTGGCCAGTCTGATGTTTGTCCACCTTAGAAGCACTTACTCTTCTCTCGCCCCTTCCTGCTCAGGGCTGAGCCTGTCCTCACCCGCATCAAGGAGAACCGGAAGCGGATTATCTCACCATCCTTTGACAACATCAAATATGACAACTTTGAGATAGAAGAGTACCCTCTGGCTGCCCAAGGCTTTGACTGGGAGCTGTGGTGCCGCTACCTCAACCCCCCCAAGGCCTGGTGGAAGCTTGAGAACTCCACTGCCCCGATCAGGTAAAGCCTCCTTACCCATGGCTCTCTTGGCCTTGCCTCGCAGCAAGGGCTTCCTTCCCCATCCAACCTTCGTTCCTCTAACTCCAGTCCCATGGCAGCATGGTCAGATGGGGCCGGGGCATGGAAAGGATTTATGAGTAAACTTAAGTCACTGCTCCAGGCTTTGATGATCTCTTTTGAAAGAATCATGGCCACTAGGGCCTCCCAGTGGTGCAGCGGGTTGAGCACAGCACTGTGAAGCTGTCCACAGCCTCTGCAGCGCGGGTTTGATTCCCAGCCGGCCAGGGAGATTCTCACATGGCATGGCAGACCGCTCCTGTCGTGCTCGCTGCTCCCCTCAGCAGTGTATTTTGGTCCTTCTGCCTGTTCTGTTCCCTGATCTGTCTCTGATGAATCCTCTCATCCTCCCCACCCCCGCCTCTGGCCTGTACCCCAGCTCTTGTATAAAAATAAATAAATCTTTAAAAAAAAAATCATGGCCACTAGAATCCACACAGGGGCTCAGACTTATTCATGTCCTCATATCACTGTGGGGCACGGATTGAGCGCAGCACTGTGAAGCTGTCTACAGCCTCTGCAGCGCGGGTTCAATTCCCGGCCGGCAGGGGAGATGCCCACATGGTGTGGCAGACCTCTCCTGTCTCGCCCGCTGCTCCCCTCAGCAGTGTATTTCATCAGTCTGCCTGTTCTGTTCCCCGCTCTGTCTCTGGTGAATCCTCACACCCTCCCATGCCTCTGGCCTTCACCCCAGCTCTTGTATAAATAAATTAAAAAAAAAATCTTAAAAAAAAAAAAAAAGACTCATTCCTTCCCTCAAAACCCTGGAATCTAGTGAAGACAGACAAAAAAAGATTGGAATGACAAATTACTACACCATGTAGGTGGGAACTCCACGGAACATGGGGGAACTCTTTAAGAGGGTGTAGCATTTGCTCTTATTTTTAAGAGTAAGTAGGAGATTGCAAGGTTGGGGCAGGGGCACCCACATACCCATTTACTCACTCACCCGTAGCGTGAGTTCATGTACAGAGAGGTAGGTCAGAGGTTTTGGAAGAAGGGCAGAGAGAGGGCAGCCCCAGGCACAGAGGCTGGAGGGGCAAGAGGAAAGACCAACCCCACAGCAGCTGTAGCCCACCTGGCTGATATTTGAACTCATCTTGTAGGGTCCACACTGTGTTTTATAGATACCAGACTCTTTCTGTCTTTGCTGCTGCCTTCATTGACATCTAAATGACTTTCCTGTGCAGACTCTGTTTTATGGGTCAGAACTCCTGAAATAGCCTTCGCCACCAAGCCCTTATTTCTGCCTGTGTTAATCACAGATCAGGTGCCTTTATGTTCCCTGCAAAGTCCTGCCCATTAAATACACAGACACCAGAAGGTGGCCTAGGGGACCATTCCTGGAATGAAAGAAGAGATTAGAAGCTGATGTTGCTTTATGTTCCATGAGGGAGATAGATTATGAAAAATTTAATTGAAAGTGGGTGATTATTATCTGAAGATTACATTTTTCCTTGCCAGAAGAAAAAACTATGTTCGTATTTAAAACAGGTGGAAGAAAATTCTGTTTAGCTTTCCTATCTTTGTCTCTGCTACCTGTAGGCCCCCACCACAGTTTAGTGTTGCTAAATATTTGTTGGGAAGTCACTGTGTGCAATGCTTGTTACACACATGGTCTCATTTGATCCACACCAGAAGCCAGTACCAGTTTGTCCCTGTGTCACTAGAGGAAGAAAGCAAGGCTGATGAAGGAGAATGGGCCTGCCAAAGACTTCGGGCAGTGGAGGCAGAGTCCAAACTCAGGCCACCAGTTTCTGTGTCTTTCTGTCATCCCTGAGATACCCCCCAGCTGTGCTCAGACCTGTTGTGGCTGGGTTCTGCCCCCAGGTCTTTTGGACAGAAATAGTGTCAGGTATGAATGTTCTTGGAGAAGAATGCATTGGTATTTGCAACGTCTGTTCTGCTCATCTCTGCTAACCACCTGGTCTTAATCAGGAAGCCTGCATTCTAGTTAGTTCTTTGATAGAAAATATCATCTCAACTTCAAATTTTTCATCAATGATTTTTTTAACCAAAAATTTGACTGAGAGAAATTATAATTTTGGAAGGTTTGGAGGAGAACCTTCCTGGTTTTATCTCTAGATGAAGACAGCCCCACAGAATGCTGTGGGTTATAAAATTTATCTAGCCCACCTCAGCTCCTGTTTCCTTGGAGCTATACTTAAGTGCTTTGCCCATATGTGCTGTAAGTTGGGGGAAAAAAATCCCAGTGATTTCTTCCATTGCATTCTAAAGAGATGTCTTTGAGATAGTTATTCACTATTTCCCAAAGTGACCTTATGAATAAGACCAACCTGAGAAATTTCTTTCAGACTACTCATCAAAGAAAGCTTTACTATCCCTGAAAAATGAGTATGGATGACATTGCTACATGTGAACTGTAAATCTTATTTCTTTTTTTAAAGATTTATTTATTTATGCATACAAGAACTGGGGTACAGGCCAGAGATGTCGGAGGTGAGAGGATTCACCAGCGACAGTAGGGAACAGAACAGGCAGACTGACTGAAATACACTGCTGAGGGGAGCAGTGGGTGAGACAGGAGAGGTCTGCTGCACCATGTGGGTCAGGTCCCTGGCCAGGGATTGAACTTGTGCTGCAGTGGCTGCGGACAGCTCCATAGTGGTGTGTCTTAACCCCTTGTGCCACCAAGGAAGCCCCTGTAAAAATCTTATTTCTAAGACCATATGTGTTCATATTCATCTTGGCCACCAGGAATCTCAGAGTCAGCTTTGTAGATCTACTTGAAGAACCATGAAGGAGCATCTTGGACTATCAAAGCATTCTAACAGGACCCCAATTGGTTGTGAACTTTAGTCTTTCCAGACATTTATCTATTTTACTTTTCAATGTGTTTTCCATTTTCCTAAAAGCTATTTCTAATCCTTTTGGGAATTTGAGAAGGTATAAATTTATAACATTTTCAGGCTAACACAGCCCACTTAATTCCCTAACTGGTTAGTAAGTAACAGATAGCACAGGTGACCTGTGCTCACCCCAGAGTAACTGTAGACCATTTTCTTTCCCTGACTGGGTCTGGTCATTCGAGGGAGACCCCTTCCTGCTTGTCCTGGGACTTTACTGTCATGCTCAACGTTTTCGGAATGTCCAAGAAAAAACTGAGACCCTACTCTGCTTGGCTGGTGTTTTTAAATCACCATGCATTTAGAGAGGGGAGTCTCTGGGCTTCTTCACTGTTCAAGTGCATTTTTAAAAATGATCTTTTGAGTGCCAGTTATGTCTAAGAGGCTTGCAAATGCTTTGCATTATTTATTTTAAGTCTTGAGAGATCATCATTGATTCCATTTCATAGCTATGGAATCGGAGACTCAGAGAGGCTAAAGACACACTGCCATAGCACTCCCCCAAGGCCAGGTCAAGGGCCTACCCCTAGGAACTCAACCTGCTGTAGCAATGGTGAATTGTGTTGGAATGACCACATTGGGTGCCTGCAGTCTATGAAAGGTGAGCCCATTCAGAATAAAATTTGATTTGAAAGGAGAAAGGACAGGGACTCCAGGCCTGAGCAACCTCATGCATCAACAATCTCCAAAAGAAATGAACTGCAGGGCCTCCCTGGTGGCGCAGCGGTTGAGCGCTGGGTTGCGAAGCTGCCGGTGACCTCTGCGGCGCCGGTTCGATTCCTGGTTGCTCCCTGGCCACCAGAGGAGGGTCCCGCATGGCGTGCAGACCTCTCCTGCCGCCCGCTGCTCCCCTCAGCAGTGTACTTCGGTCCTTCTGCCTGCTCTGCTCCCTGCTCTGGCTCTGGTGAATTCTCTCACCCACCCGCGCTTCTGACTGTACCCAGTGCATGTACAAACAAAACAAACAAACAAATAAATAAATAAATAAATAAATAAAACATGCCTCTATAAAAAAAAATAATAATTTAAAAAAAAAAAAAAAGAAATGAACTGCAAAATATGTGACTGACAGTTTTCTCATTGCTAAGGATGCTTCCTTTGCCTTCTCATTCCCTCCACATGCTTAGCCACCAGCTGATAAGATGCTGCAAGGGCTAGAAATGGTAGCAGTGTGCAGTGGAACAATACAAATTTGTTTGTATGAGTTAATGCTCTCAGCAGAGAAGTACGCACATGCTCTGATGCTGATTCACCTCATGTGAATGGCTCCTTGTGACATCCTGGATCAGGTGTCTGCACACAGCCAGTTAGTTCCTCGCCTACACCCTCACTGAGTAAGGTCTCCTGTTCCTGGGCCAGTTACCAGATGTTAGGTGATGCTCCAGCCTAAGACCCCAGCTGAATTCCAGTCCCAGGCTGTCTACCAATGCCCTGCCTGTAGGATATTGCCCCCTAGTGTCCCACAGGCATCTGGAGATCGTCTTTTCTCTACAACCCCTACTAAACAGCTGCCGGGACTACTCCAGTCTGAGAGCCAGCTGGCGTCCGGATTTCTCCCTCTCTCCTTCACTCTCAAAGTTCATCTGTTTTGAAATATGTTAAGAATAGGACATCAAAATATGTCTTTAGACAAACCCTTTCTTCATTCCTGATGCTCCAAGTCCTTATCCTTTCTCATTGGGTTATAGCAACAAGCTTCCCACCTGGCATTTTCAGTTTTTACCCAGTCTCCTCCAGTCAATCACCCACTGCTGCCAAAGTGTTCTTTTTAAAAACACAGATCTGTTCACATCACTGTCCCACTTAAGATTCTTTGTTGACACTTCTTTACCTACAGATAAATCCAAATTATTTATCACATTATCTAAAGCTAATCCTTTCAAATGGAGCCAATTAGAAGTGCTTTTTTTTTTTTTTTAAGATTTTTTTAATTTATTTATTTATACAAGCACTGGGTACAGTCAGAAGTGCAGGAGGGTGAGAGAATTCACCAGAATCAGAGGGAGAACAGAGCAGGCAGAATGACAAAGTACACTGCTGAGGGGAGCAGCGGGCGGCAGGAGAGGTCTGCGCGCCATGTGGGACCCTCACCCAGTGGCCGGGGTTCGAACCGGCACTGCAGAGGCTGCGGGCAGCTTCGCAACCCAGCGCTCAACCGCTGCGCCACCGGGGAGGCCCTAGAAGTGTTTTAAAAAGCATGCAGAACACAAAGTGAGGAAGGGCAGGAAAATTGGCAGAAACAGACTGACCATGCAAGTTCAGGGTTCAGAGGTCAGGGAAGCTAGAAATACAGGCATTTGATCTAAACCAGAGACTGACCTCCACGTCTCTGGGCTAACACACACACACACACATGCACACGCACACGCGCATGTTTGCACCACCAAAAATCACAGCCAGCCCCAGGACAGGAGCTGTCTGCCTCTGACCTGATGAGAGCCTCCCTGAGTGGTTGGTGAGGGTGAACCCTGGAGGGCCACTTGGAGAACAAGGTCCACACTACTTCTGATAGCAAAGGAAGGGAGAGAACAGGTCCTCCTGGTAGAATGCTCCTCTGCTTAAACTCCGTCTGCGTGCCCCAGGAGACAAGCCCCTTTGCTAACCATTGGCCCATCTCCCCACACCTCTGCAGGAGCCCTGCACTCATTGGCTGCTTCATTGTGGACCGGCAGTATTTCCAGGAGATCGGCTTACTGGACGAAGGCATGGAGGTCTACGGAGGCGAGAATGTCGAACTTGGGATCAGGGTGAGTATGTTTTCTCACTGACAGGACTTGGCTCAGCTCCCCAAAGGGTGAATGAGTTTGGCATGGAAAAATGGGGTCAAGGTTGAGGACCACAGACTGATTCTGAGTGTCCATGGCTGTGTGTATGTGATCAGGGCTGATAGGAATATGGGAGAGGATCGATATATTCTTCAAGAAGAGGATTTTAGTAATTGCTGTCTGGATGTGGGGTGTGGGAGAGTTGATGTCAGCCATAGTGAGGGGATCTTAGGTCTTACCCTAGAGGGACACTCACTCCTCTATCCAGGGAGCGGCCCTAACCTCATGAAAGATTCAACATTCAAGCTGTGGTTTTTCCCAGGATGGTCCCACTGTCCTTTCAGTGGGGCACTGGCATACTCATACACTGCAGGCTTGCCAGACCTTGCACCTGGGTGTTCTGGAAATCATCTGAGATGTTCCTCCTTACTGCCAGCCTTCATGTAGACCACCCTGACATATGTCTGGTACCCCCTGGTGACTCTACTCTTGCCCCGTTGGTCCCTTAGTGGTCTGTATCTGGCATCATCAGTTTCTACTCAAGGTTTCCAGCTTAGATACACCCTCCCCTCCACTCTAACCTCCTGGGACCTTCCTCCCCAATGGGCAGTCAGCTGGCCATGAATAGTCTTGCCTGTCCTATAGGGAAACTAGGCACCTCCCCCAAACATCTCACCTGCAGTGGCTGGCAGGTGACTTGTCAGCCAGACTTAATATTAGGGCTTTGTAATCCAGCAGCAGGAACAACTTGTCTGAAGCTGTGCTTAAAAAATACTTCCAGACACCTGTATTCACTGAAACCCAGAGAAAATGCTTTGGAGGTAGTCAAAATACATGGGCTTATTGGGGAGCTAATATATTCATAGAAGACAGTGCCTGCATAATCACCTTCATTTCTCCAGCTCTTTCTACACCAGTCATTTATTCACCATTTACGTCCTCACCATCTCACTTCAGCACCACTCCTAGATAAATGCTTACCCCAAACATATTATTTTTCACTAGGAGCTTCTGCCAGGAGTTGGCTGAACAGGCAGAATGGCCTCTAGTCACTTATGCTTTCTACTGGGTAAAAATGTCTGGGAATGGAGAAAGGAATTAGATTTGTGAACTCTGCTTCCAACATGTATGTGAGTCAATCATGGAGGTGGGAGAGTTCTGGCTTTTCCACCCCTGGACTCGAAATCTGTTCTGATTGTGGGCGTAGGGAAGGCTTTCAAATACATGTTAATGCTTCTTTGGGTAGTTTGTGTTCAGGGTATGAAATGGTACCTGACCTTCCTCCCCACCTCCCTCCATTTCTTTCCTCTTACTTGACAGGGGTACAGGGCATTGGAGTTGAAGGAAAGGTGACTTTTAAGCAGAGACCCTGCAATCTGTTGGCTGACAGAGCTGAAAACAGAAGGCAGGACTAGTTGGTTCCTCTAAAGGGATACAGAGTAACTGGTCATCTCCAATATTGATGCTTGTGTGGTTATTAGTGTTTTTCTTTTATGCTTTACAAGTTAACATCTAAATGCCTTGTCTTACAGATCAGTTTCCCTATGTCAATTTCATGTAACACAAGATTAAATCAAGGACAAGGGGGAAGATATTATTGAGAGAGTTGACACTGGGTGTATGAGGCTGCAGTGGTGTAAAATGTTATGATGTGAGGAGGCTACAAGTATATTTATCCCTCCCTGAAATTAAATTATTTAATATAAATAGCAGCTCTCCCCACCTTTCTGGAATGGAAACCACAGAGTTAGGAAGGGGAGGGAAATAGTGTCAGCACAACTGCTGCTGCCAATGCCCAACCCAGGGGGTCCAGAGCAGGCAGTAAGACAAAAGCAACCTCCTCTCCATCTTGCCCTGGCTGTGGTTGACTCTTGACTAGATGGAACCCTTTGGAATGTATCACAGAGAAGATAGTCAACCAGACACGTTGAACATCCACTTGGTCATATCTGCATCACTGACTCCTTGTCTGAATGTTTCTTATTGGCATTTTAGAGTCTGTCTTGGAACACTGATAATCATCTGTCTTTTTAGAATACAGTCTGCTCTTATGATGCCTCAAATAGCTTTTACATCATCCAGTCTAGCTGACCTTTTTCTGCCTTCTCCAAAGGCTGGATCATTGCTGTTATTTTGGCTCACCCAGACTATCAAAGCCCCAGTAGCAACTTTTAACTGCTTTTGCTTTTCCTTATCAGAAGATCTGATTTAGTGTTAAGATCTCTCCTTATGAATGATCCTGCCCCCTGCACCTGAACATCTAAAACAGGAGGAAGACTAGCTGGCTAGCTCCACCTTTTGTCATGAAGGAATCTGTCAAGGTTCTCCTTATCTGGATATCCTTATTTAGTAGCTCAATCAAGCAGAAATTTGTATTTGAGGTTTCGGAATGACTTTATTCGAAATCCATGATATCATTCTGTTGCCCGAGTCTGCCAGTTTTCTTCCCCTCTCATAAATTTTCTTAGCCTTGGAGAATCAAGTGTCTCCCCACATCCTGGGAAAATTTCAGTGGCTATTGCATAGGTAAAATGAAGAGCGCAAAGAAGCTATGGACATAGGAGGAGTAGACTTTACAAATTGCATAATCACCAGATATTAGAGATCCCTGAGCCCTCGTCTATGTTCTTCTTGGCTTCTATATCAACTAAGTGTCAGTGGAAATGCATTTCCTCTGTAATGTCAAAATTGTTTCCCTACAATTATCCTATTTAATGCACATAGTGATCAAGTGCTGTAGGCAAACCAATATTATTATTCTAATAGTGTTATAAGATTTAAAATGTGGTTGTTATCCAAAAAGTGAATTCCTCCTTATGCTTTAACTCTTTATTATTGTCATTATTTTAACAATAACGATAACAAGAAATCAATTTAAAAGCTTCGTAAACTATAAAGTGCTCTGTACAATACATTTTATTGTATCTGTTATACATGTAGATATGTATATGTGTGTGTGTGTTCTGTAAATACATTACCACACAGTTTATATAGTGCTTATTTTTTAAAGCATACTTTCATTTACATTATTATAGTCCTACTTTACTTTTTATTCAGATAACACTTAGGAATATATGTTTAAGTAAGAAAACTGATTCAGACTAACTTAAAGAGAAAAGGAATTTATTAGGCTGTTGGCAAGTCCAAAGAATAACTCTGGAGAAGCAGATTCAGAAAGTAAGCAGAAACCAATAGAAGCTGCACAAAGGAAACAGAAAAGCCAGGTAGTAAGGATTATCTAGTTAGGATCTATCTGCTTACCACACTACCATGACTAAAGGCCACACTACTGGATACTGGGCACTGTTACTTGTTTCTTAGTGACACTCACCAAGGTTCAGAGTCCCTGCTGAGAGGAAACAGATGGCTAAACCTAGATTATAGGACAGTGCCTTAGCTTCTTGGAGATAAGGGTATGTCATTTCTGCCTCCTTTCAGGTTCCATTGAGGCAAAAATTACATGTTATGTGTAATAGAAAGGGGATATGAAACCTGAATTCTAATGTCCTCTACAACAAGTAATATACTATCCAGGGTATTGTATTCCATATTCTGGGTTCTTTCTCATAAATGTGATTTTAAACCCATTTCAAACATCTGCAAAAAACAGGAGAATAGTATAATAAATCATTTTGCATGCATAACTGAGTTTCAACATTGTCATCTGATGGACAGTTTGATTTTAATCTCTGTCCCTACCCATTCTTCTCCCAAATCATCATTTTGAAGCAAATCCTAGATATTATGTCATAAAAAATGTCATATACATCTAAAATAGAAAGGGACTTTTAAAAATGTGACCATAACACTATTTCCAGTGTGAAAAGTGTTGAAAGAATTCTCTAAAACCACCAAATCTTCTATCGAGTTCAAATTTTTGAAATTCTCTCATTAATTTTTGTTTCATAATTTGTTTACTTGAGTCAATTTGTTTACTTGACTGTATCTTTCAAGTGTCTATTAAACTGTTGAATTTCTCTCTCCATCCTTTTTACCCCTTATAATTTATTTTTAAAGAGATCAGGTCACTTATCCTATAAAGATTCCCATCAGCTAGATTTTCCTGGTAACAGTCACCTAATGTCATTCAACATGTCCTTCTGTCACAATTCCACTTCTAGGAGTCTATATGTAAACAATAACCCAGTGAATATTTGGAAATATATGTATTTTTATAGAATATATATATATGTAAATATATGTATTTCTTGTGAAATGGTGGTTAGATCTATAGAGGTAGGTTCAGTTCTGTAGCAAGACCATTTCACAGGCAGTATTTGTATAGTTCTATCCCAAGGTGTTTAACATCAACTGTCTCCCCATCAGTAACAGTAGCAGCTCTTACTGGTTTTGTAGATCCAGGCATTCATTAAGAGTCACAAAATGGCAATATTTTGATTTTATTTTGCTACTCGCTTATCAGTGAAACATATTATAGTCATCCATTATTTGGTTACCAGGGAGTGCAATAAAGTTTATTTGGAAAATTCAGATAAGTAATTCTGTAATAGCTTTCAAAATAATGAATTAATTTTCTGCCATCATTCAAAGGGGACCAATTAGGTTTCTTAGTATTATGAATTCATAGATTTAAAGATATTTATTTATTTATTTATTTTAATATTAAATTTTATTTTTATATTCCCCCATACAATTGCAAACGCCCCATTCTGACCCCAATCCTTCCCCTCCCCCCCACCCCCAAAAAGTGTCTCTGGTTCATAGTTTTTTGTTGATTTTGATTTTCACTTTCTTATATTCATTTTCCTGGTCCCTTATTTAAGTTTTCTAGATTCCTGCTATGAGTGAGACCATCCGGTATTTTTCTTTTTCTTTTTAGCTTATTTCGCTGAGCATGATCCCTTCCAGCGCCATCCATGTTGCTGCAAATTGCATGTGTTTATCTTTTTTGAATGCTGAGTAATATTCCATGGTATATATGTACCACATCTTCTTGATCCAGTCATCTATTTTTGGGCATT